CGGGTGCGTATCTTGGCTGCAACAAGATAGTGGTCCGAGTCGATGTTTGGGCCTCGGAGTGTGCGTACGTCTAAAACACTGGAAGCGTGCCTTCCGTCTATCACAACATGATCGATTTGGTTTCTCGTTTTTCGATCCGGAGACAGCCAGGTAGCTTGATGGATCTTTTTATGCTTGAACCTAGTACTGCATACTACCATGTTTCGGGCCCCGGCGAAGTCGATCAGCCTCAATCCGTTGTCGGACGTTTCGTCGTGGAGGCTGAATTTTCCGACTTTTTTTATTTTTACGTTGCATAATTTGGTGCGTTGATAAACTCTTGTTTGAGTTTATACCGAACTGGTAGTATTTGGAGAGGAGAATCGAATGCAGCCCGTTATAAGTATGTGCTTGCAGCAGAAAAGAAGTTATGAAGAGTAAAAGTGGCGTGACTCCTTTTTTTTTTAATTCTGATACTCGCGGCTTTTATAGCATACTGCAGCTGGTGCGTACCTAAAACTGTTATCGGACAACTGTTATTGTGTTCTGGAGCATAAAAGGAATATAGATATGGCAGGCTTATGTGCTCTCCTTAGAAGATAGTTAAAAAAAAACAAATTCTTTAAAAGGTTACGATGCGTACACAAAAGTAAAAATGGATATTTTTTACTAGCACATCGTCTGCAATTGGAAAATTTAGCCAAATACGTGTGTGCACTATTGTACAATAAACTATTGAACCATGATCCTCGTGCACCACTTTTGTTTTTATTCTTATGTAACGTGGTATTTGTAAGTACATACATACATGTGTATGTAATTTTGCATAACAGCCAATTAATTTAATTATTTGTTTTCTTTTTTTTTTGTTAACTCCATTAAATTAACTGATTTTATGAATTAATACATTTATTTGTAATTTTTTATGGAATCGGCATCGGCATCGGTATTGGCCGATTCTTTCCCCATAAGCCGATTAATCGGCATCGGCATCGGTACCTCAAAAAAATTTGGAATCGTTTGGACTCTAGTAGAATGCACAAAAGATATAAGAAAATTATATTAGTGAAAGATATAATTCTAACAGTATCATCGATTTTTCGACATTTCGTTATTCTAGATCGCCAATTTCTCATAAGTAAAATTGCCGTTAAGGAAGAAAAAAAAACATTAAAATTCAAGAATAAAAGATTATCGCAAACAGCGTTGCCATTT